CGGTTCGGGCGCGCGCGCGTGTCTGGGGTTGGGCGGGCGAGCGCGGCGGGGGCAATGGTTGTGAGGGGGTGTGGGCTAGGCGCTGTGGCTCGGTGCACGCGTCGCGCTGGCGCGGAGCGATGCGCGCTGCATTTGCGGGGCGCGGCGGGCGGTGGGGGGGGGGGGGAGGGGAGGGCGGGGCAGGGGGGGGGGCAGGGGGCGGGGCGGCACAGACGCGCGCTACCGAGGCGTCGGGATTGCGGCTCGCTGCAAGCGCATGCACGCGTTGTTCGGGCTGCGCGATGTTATGTCGCGCACGTCCAGGGCGCAGCGCTTCGGCCATGACGCCCAGAGTTCGGGGCGCGCGCGCAAGCGCGCCGCGCGTGGACGCGCGTGGGTTTAGGGTGCATCGCTCCCGCAGCGGTGGCGAAGCGGGCGCTGCCATTGAGGCGTGCCCCGCGCCGTCATTACGTAGGGGTGCGCCAAGCGCTGGCATGCGCGCAATAACTGCCACATGTTACATCATCGCGTTCCCGTCTAGCCGTCGGTACTATTCTTAAAACAAGGGTGAAAAGGGGGCTACGTGGGCTGCAAGCCGGACCCGCACCAATCACGTCGTCCGTCATATCGTCGTGGTCCGAGAGCCGCCACCGCACCGTGGGTCAAGTTTTTGTGGTTGTCGTTTGCCCCTGGCGCACCATACTTTCGAGTGTGTGGGCTGCAATGCAGTTTCAATTGACGGGGAGCCTCAACCTGGTCGTCACGGACCCGACGAAGCCACAGTCCTTCGAACAACGGATCGATGTTTCGCTCCCCTGTACCGTCCTCATCCTTGGCGCTCAATGCTCGGACCCGCCAACTCCTACAGAGGCCTGCTCTGGAGATTCAGGCGAACAGCGTGATGTGCCAGACGGTGGAAAGCAGAAGGCCCCACATGACGAAGCCAGCAGTAAGGTAGTTCGCATGTCTTTGGGTGACAGCCAATTTGGGCACTTTGATTCTGGTTGGAGAGCACAGCGGGCCCTGATTGAAGCCGAGTTTGCCATGGCAGGGGGGCGCCTGCCACTGCCAGCTGACGTAGGCACTGGTGATGAGCAGGCGCGCCGCAGTTCGCAGGAGTTTGTCCCTTCGGCTTTGTTTGCAGAGGCGGGCTTGGGCGCTGCCGAAGGCATCTCTGAGGAGAGCGTGCCAGCGGCATCTTGCACCAGTGCCGCAGGTGGCGCCTCGACGAGCGCGATGGCTGGGACGCCGCCGGCGCCATCGCCGCAGAGGCGCACGCCCATGGCAGACGCATCTCCAGAGGACTGTGTCTGGATTGCCGATAGCCCTCGGAAGGCTGTGGCGCCTAACGCAGGGCCGTTGGCGCCAACCGAGTCTGGCCGCAGCCCAGCCTCCGACCCCAACGTTGGCGCGAAGACGCCAGCGAAAATGCTTGGCCCTTCGGTCGTTGATACAACGCCCTCGAAGGTTTTTGGCACAGGGGTCGGTGTTGCTCCCCCGACCAAGCGCCGTTGCCATGCGAAGGGAAGCTCGAGCGGGTCAACCCCAGGTGGTGGCCACGCGGTTTCAGAAGCAGCTCCCAATGAGTTTGGGCGCGTTGGTGGCGACGCACACAATTCGCAGCCTTGCGTGCTGGGCGTGCTTGGCCATCAGCTTTCATCTGCCAGCCAGGTGCTCCGCGAATTTCAGACGGAGTAGCCAGCCTTGGTTCGGTAGCGGAGTTATCCAGGCAGCAGTGACTCGACGATTGGGCTGGCAGGTGCGACAATGACGACGATTGAATTGACGATGCCAGCTGTGAGGGAAGGAGGGCGGGCAATATGATTAGCGTGTCGAGGCAGCTGCATCTCTTGCATGGTTTCTCGCACGTGGGTTTCGCGTGAGCCTATTTGATTTGGCGCAAGTGGCGCAAGCGCCTGATTACCTTGAGGACTCGAGCGTCGCCCGACGCAGCCTGTTGAGAGCGGTCGAGGGGCCGCCGCAGTTCCGTGCAGCAATCTAGCACGACCGTGCAGCGTTTCCAGGGATTCTCGCTGGATGCAGCTGGACATAGCACCCCTCCTTTTGGGCATCGTCATCGTTCTTCCTCGCACTTCCCTCCGTCGCCTTTCCATTATTCCCTTCCCCTGCCCTCCAACGCCGCTCATCCTGCATCGCCCTTGCCTTTCTCACCCTTCGGCCTCGCTCTCGTGCGCGTCTACGCTCTCATCTTCATCGTCGCCTCATCCGTTCGCCGTTCTGGGGTCGCCCCTTCTCTCATGGACCGCCCTCCGCCTGCCCGCCTCCTCCTTCTCCGTTTCGATCGTTCCGTCTTTCGTTGCGTCCTGTCGTCCGTTCCGTTCTCGTGCGTCGTGCCGTCGTTCATTCAACATGTTTCCCAATTCAGCTTTTCGCAGCGTTTCTGCAACTCTGGAACGGGCCATCGGGTCGTACTCGAGCGTCGCATCGTCGCCGTCGCCCCCCGCTCGTAGCGCACCCCCTCACGGCCCCCTTGCCGCGCGGCCACTGGCGTCGTGGGCGGCGACCGCACGACAGCCCCAGCAGGCCCGCCGCCCCGCGTGCATTGCGCCCGTGCCAGAGGAGGACTTGGATGGATAAGCAGGGAGGGGGGTGGGATGAGTGGGAGGAGGATGGCAAACGGTAGGGGGGTCGTCAGGCGATCGGCGGCCAAGGGGGCTTGAAGGTGAATAAAGGTTAGCTGGGGGAATGGTGGATGGACCGACGTGCATGATCAGTCAGTTGTCTCGTGTTGCCACGGTAACCATCCCCCGCCAGTTGCGGACGTCCCCACCAGCCAATCCAGAAGCGATGCCCAGGTGGGTTGAACGGATGAGGTACGCACGTGGACCTCATGGTGGAGTAACGTTAATGGAAGCTTTCGATGGGGATCTCGGGGGCCATCTTGGGGCAACCATCGGCCAATCTAGGGCACCGTGCCATGTAGTTCAGAGTTCTCTACTGTACCACTGGTGTTCTTTTAGGGCTGCCTCAAGGGCTTTGGGGTTCATCCTGGGGGCGTCGGTCAATAACTTGAGCGTCGTCCCTTCTGGCGCCCTTGGGGGGGAGGGGTGAACTAGCCCACTCGCGTGGGATGCATGCAACGTCCTTGAGGCTATATTGTGTGATTATGGCGCAGCGTGGTGCCCTTCTTGCGCCACTCGGTCGGTCTTCCAAGCTGCGCCGGGGCCATCTGGAAGGTAGGCGGATCGAGTGGCAGTGATGGTTTGACAATTGCTCTATGATTCTGCGCGCGCCACTGCGCTGACATGTACGATAATGAGGGCCAGAGTTCCGATGCAGGGCCAACATTGGAAGACCATCTGACAGGTTGGAGGCACGTGTGGGCACACTGAGCCTCGAGGCCGCGCCAGGGGGTCTTGGAAGCCATCGTGGGCCTCTGTCGGGGGGGGGACTTGGGACAATTTCGGGCCACTCCTACACCCTGGAAGCCATCGGGGCCCTTTGTCACATGATGATGCGAGGCGGTGTTGGTGGATGCGGGTGCTCTTTCCGAAGGCAATGTAGTACCTTGTAGCTAACAGCCGAAGGCCCCATATGGCAACCCCTGGTGCCGACCATATTCTGACGCAACCTTCACGCTGCCCGTTGATTCAATAGGGGGCCTCGCCAATCGGTGAGGGCAGCTGGCGTGTGCTTCCCATCTAACTTCTGCATCCTCCCCGCGTTCCCCTCCACCCCCCTCCCCCTTTCACCGATGTGTCGCCCAACGGGGCGTGAGGTTTCCACTGTGCGGTCGGCATTGTTAAGTTGCCGTTTGGATTGCAGGCCGCTCAACGATTGGTCGGCATACGCCGTCGTGCTTCTTCGATCTCAACTGCCCTCCCCATAGCCATTTTGGCCTCTCGAGTTCCGTTTGAGAGCTCAGGTTGCTCCTGGTGCTTCGGCGGGCCAGTGCCAACTGCACTACTGCCCGCCAGCCTACTCCTGATCGTCCTTGCCATGGGGGGCAAGCGCGGCCAGCCGTCGGCCCAGCCCCGCGGCTCGCGCGGCGGCGGTGGGCGCGGCCGCAAGGTTGCGAGGGCTGACAGCGGCGATGCCGCAGGGGGCGCACCGTCTGCCGCGGCCTCGCTCTCGCGCGCTGCACTCGCGGGCGACAGCTTCGAGTGCGGCACGTGCGGGTCCACCGACGCCTCGCATCAGATGAAGGACGCGGCGGTGCCGTCCTGCGTCGCTTGCTTCGATCGGTACTCGAAGGGCTTCACGCAGTTCGGCTCCCTGGAGGTAGTCCAGGCGGGCGTGCAGGGCGAGGACTCGCACATCTACGACTGCTGGCAGGAGGCTTTGAGAACCGAGTCTGGCGAGCGCGCGCACTTCTTCCCGACGTCCGTCGACGAGGGGCAGGAGTTCATTGTCTCGGTCGTGAAGCCGATGGTTGGCTTGAACCGCTCGCAGCTCATCTCAGACGTGCTTGACGACGAGCCAGAGAAGATGGGCATCAAGCTGCAGGACCTGCCCGACCACGAGGGGAACATCTACAAGGGCCTCCTGGTGCCCAACCCGAATCGCCCGTACCTGGAGCACGACGTTGCCAGCCAGGTCGTCGCCAGGATGACGACGCACAAGCTGCAGCCACTTCAGCAGACGTTCTCGGCGCAGTCGGCGGGCACCTACACTTACGTGCAGAAGGATCGGTTGGGAGGGACAGTGGGCCGCTCGCGCTCAGGTGTCCGACAGCGTCTTTTGCACATCGCCGTGACCGCGCCAACTTGATTTCGTTTGCCACCCAGCCCTCGCGGCCTCTTGGGGGCCTTGGCGCACCTCGTGTGCTTATCCCTCTCCTGGCCCTCACCGTTCCACTTGCTGGTGCGAATGGCGTTGCACTCCCCCCCGCACGCTCTTAATTTGTGCCATGGTCATCGCCAAGCCTCCCTTGCAGCCTCCTTGGCCACCCCCCGCTGCCGCCACCCTTTTCACCCCAGGGGGCGACGATGGGGGTAACGGCCTGGGCTGGGGGCGCTGTCGGACACCCATGCGCGAGTTGCGAAGTGGGCCTCCTCAAGGCGATGGCGCAGGAGGGCAAGATGAAGACCGTCTGCGTCAAGGCGCGAACGGAGAACCACACACTCGAGTCGTTGAAGCTCAAGGGGGACCAGTACAGGAAGACGCAGGCCGAGGTCGCCGCGTGGGCTCAACACCTTGAGGAGCAGGATGCGAGTCCGTCTGCCAGCCCGAACGGCGCCTCGCCAGGTGGCGTGCAGTCAGCGGCCGCGGCCGCTGCGGGGATTGGCCCGATGCTGAACCCGAGTGCGATGGCCTGCTCGAGGACAGTCGTCACGGGCGAGGGCGGCCGCGGGCCTCGCACTCCAGGCGCAAAGCCACGGGGGGCAGCCAGGTCGGCGGCGATGTCGGCGGAGGGGAAGCAATCTGAGGTGGAGGAGCTCGTGGAGCGCCGCATCGCCGCCCTGGACGTGAACAGGTGCTGGTCAGGCACCGCCGTGGGCCGCGAGCTCCGCTGGGCGAGGGAAAGCCGCCAGACCATCATGGAGGGCTGCCCCAACCCGCGGGACAGCGAGGTGGCGGACAAGTTGAATGAGCACATCCTTGTATGCGACGCGATCTGCCAGCTGGTCGAGAAACCGATAGCAACGCTGCCAAAGGCCAAGCTGGAGAGCCTCCTGAAGGCCATCGAGGCGGGGGACGAGGACTTGCCATCGAAGTGGAAGCTGGACGTACTCAAGCTCAAGGTCCAGCGGTTGTTGTGTTGGGGGTTGCCCAAAAGAGAAGTTGGGCTAGGCCAGAGGCGCCGAGGCGGGCGCCACCCCACTGACCCAGCCCAGTTTCTCTTGTTCGGACACCGCCCCTTAGCACATCCTGAAAGGTCGCCGAGTTCATCAAGATTGGCGACTTCGACGTGCATGAGTTCTTTGTCATCGTCGCACCGTGGGAAGTCCAAGCTGAAGTTGACATCATGAGCGACACCAGGTACAAGCCCACGCGCCCACGGGTGCTCACGTGCGACGGGAGCTTGTCGGACAAGATCGTTGCTTGCGAGGGTTTCTTTATGGAAACGTTGGCCCAGTTCATCCAGAGTGGCAAGGAGGGGCAGCTCAGCTTGACCAGATTCTGCATCAAGTGCCTCGATTGGCTCGACGAGAAGTGTCCTGATGACGAAGAGTTTGACGACGTCGTCTCGGCGATGACGACGTGCTTGAAGGCCACCTTGTGCATCGCCGACCCCGTGCGCCTGGAGTACAAGGACGCGCTGCTGGAGATGACGGCTGCGAAGTCGACGGAGGTTGGCAAGGCGTGCTTGCGCCACCTGAGCTTGGCGGTGAAGCGGTCGGCGCACTACGCAGCGCTCAAGGCCAATCCCGCCTTAAGCGTCCGAGGGCGGGTGTCCGCGCATGTCGGGGCTTTCTGGGTTCTGGTGGGGGGTTGGTGGCACAGTGGTTCCCCACAGCTGTTTCTGGTTGTCAAGCTGGGTCGGGGGCGGGATGTAAAGGTTGAGGCCCCCTGGGGTCTGGGACCGAAGTTCCTTGTGGGCCCCGCAACGGGCGACAGAGGGGGTGGGCGACCCGATCGCGGGCGGAGCTGCTTGAGGCCGCGCGCATCGAATGGGTTTCAGACCCTGCGCGCTCCCTCAACGGCGAACCGGCCCGCCATCGAGCCAGCCGCGCTCTCCCACGTCCAACTCGAAGCTCAGCCCACCCACTGTCGTAACACCCGCGCTGGACGCGGTAGCTTCGACGCGCGCGGACCCCATCCCCGAGCTGGTGTAAGGCGGCTTCAGCACAGGATGAGTTCGACCAGTATTTTCTGAAAACGAGCGAGCTTTTCCCGCAGATGGTCCAGCTGATGGCGGCCATGGACGCGGCGACGGACATCAGAGAGGTAGAGCGGTCGGGGACTCTGAAGGCAGCGCTCGAGCTGTTGCCGAACGTCGTGACGTACTGTCGGCCAGGCAGCTTCGGCAACTTCAAGGAACAGGTGAGCGCGAAGTTGGACGAATACATTAACAGTTACTTATTTTGCGGTGCCCTCGCCGAGGCAGATGGTTCCGCGCAGACTTCCATGCTGGCCGATGCGAAGGCACTGGTCACCATCGCTAAGACCAGCATCTCAGAGAAGGGTTCATTGTGGGCGACGGCAATGGATAAGATCAAAGAGAAGGAGTCCGAGATCAACCAGTTCAACGCCAACAAGGGCTTGGCGCAGCTCGCGGAGTCCCTCGACGACGAGATCTTGATGAACCTCGATAGGCTCAAGGAGGTGCTCCCAGTGATCGAGTCCGTGCTGGCCGCTGGCGGCAGGGGCGTGGAGGTCCACAAGGATAGCGCTGCCACCATCTTCGGAAAGATCTACTCGGTGATCTGCCAGTATGTCCGTGCCCCGACGGAGGCCGCACCGCGCCTGCACATATTGATGACGCTTACGGAGACAAATTGGTTGGCTGGCGAATCGGCGGTGAAGCTCGACAAGGTGATTACCATGCTCAAGGCTTGGGGCTCCCTCTCGCAGCAGCGCGCTCAGTGGGCACAGTCTGGTAACGACGACGCGGTGCGGCTGATCAAGGATGGGTCGGCGAACCTGGTGACGAGCATCCGTTCTTCTGTCAAGGCGATGCAGTCCACTGGCTTGGTGGCAGAGGTGATCGGGGCGCAGTCGGACGTGACGGCGGCGACCGAAGAGATGAACTCAGCGGCCAATGTGTGCATGGCGATCGTGACCGATGCCATGAAGGCTGCGACGGCGGCGTTGAAGCCGTTCGCGACGGGCACGGAGGCGTTCGACCAGCCTTGGGACCAGGACCTGGCTGCGGACGCGGGCATGGACTCGGTTCTGAAGCGCGTGGAGGAGACGATCTTGCAGATCGACGGGGGCTCCTTCCAGAAGCGGATCGACGCTGTCCTCGACGCGAAGAAGCGCGCCGTGGGGTGGGCGCAGGTCTTCGAGGTGCAGCAGGACGAGGATGCGACCAAGGAGGCGGTCGACACGATGAGAGTGGCGAGCGCCACTAAGTTCACGGCGCTGGTGGTGCACGCGTTCAAGACGTGCGCTGGCCAGGCGCCGAAGATGCGCCGCATGGTGAACGCGTACCGCAAGGAGGCGGCGGAGGCCGACGCCGTCAGCGCCATGCGCCAGGACGTGGAGTGGGCCGCGAAGCTGGCGTCGCTCAAGGGCAGCACCTAGGAGGAGTTCAGCTGGCGGTGCGACGGCGCGACGTCGCCAGCTACAGCGCTGGGATCAGCGCCCGCGAGGCTTTCTCGCCAGCGCTTGCGCGCAGCAACATGCCACCTCCTCCTCCGCGTATCCATGCCAATCCGCCCCGTTCTCATTCCCACCTTGTTGCCCTCAGCCTCCTCCGTGCCATCCTCGTGTGGCGCTCTCGCCAATGATTTCGCAGATGCCCGAATGATGTTTCGCCCCGTGCCCGAGTAGGAAGAGAAGGAAGATGAGGGGGAGAAGAACGAGGAGGAGGATGTGGAGGGGGGGGGGAGGAGGAGGAGGAGGAGGAGGAGGAGAAGGATGATTCATACAACATGGCATTGTTGTTACGGGTGACGCTTCGCATATATCTGCCAGCCCTTCCTGAACCGACCGCCTCTGACATCGGTGGCGTTGGGCCCAGTGCGAATCCACGACCTGGCGACCGTGACTTTGCATGCCTCTTTAGGGGGGGCCTCACTGGGGGCTACTTGGAGAGAATTGTGGTCCTCATGGACCATGGCAGTGGCATCGGACGCCATGATTGGGCTGTCTAGGGGTCATCTTGGGGCTGCGAGGGCGTTGCTTTCCATGGTCCTGTAGGTCAGCGGTTGGTCATGGGGTGGGGGCGTTGGCTTGCGAGCCCCTCTGATGCAATAGGTGGTTCCCTTGTGCTCCCCCCAGGAGTGCCCCTGGGGCTCATTAAAGACGCACTTCAAGTATTATTAGGGGTGTCTCGGGACCTCTCGGAGCCTCGCGCGGCGATCTTGTGGCCATCTGATCGGCGTGTTGTTAGGTTGCGGCAAACACTGTTGTTAAAGCCGAGTCGTTGCATCGGAGGGGCGCAATTCTCTCGCGCGTCCGCGCCGCCCCTTCATTGTAGTGAGAGCCCGCGCCACGTCGATAAGCAGCCGACCGACAATGGCCATGATAAGGTTGCATATTCGAATTGGCTTGCGCCTCGCCCGCCCGCGTGACCTCCCTGCCGCGGCCCGCCCGCCCGCCCGAACCGCCCAGCCTGCCCGCGTGGGTCCACCCGCTCAGTTGTTCGAGAGGTGATCCGCCTGTTATGACGCCACGCTCGTGCGGCTCGCCCGTTAGGGCCCGCCTGCCCGCTTGCCCGAGGTAGTGCAATCGCCAAGGGTATCGCCGCCAATTGCCCCGCCCAGGTTTTAACAGGAATTCCTTCAAGCAGCTTCGGCTTGCAAGATTCCCAACTCTGGCAGCTATAGCGCGCCGACGTCGGCGACTATCTGTTCAAACGGAGGGGGGTAGTTTTGCGCCTACTTTTTTCGGGGGTGGTACTTTGGTGGGTAGTTTGGTAGCTACTTGTTTGGGGTGGGTGGTACTTTGGAAGGTACCCTATTCCCTATCCATGTTGCTACTTTGCCTGTTTTCGCTTTCTCTTGCCTGTAGCAGGAACTGCCTTTCATAATCCGCTAGGACCCCTACGGAGGCAAGCTCTGATTGGAGAACTTCAAAAAAACAAAGGGCGACAAGTGTCACGCCCGAAATGGTAAAAATTAATTGTTCAATTTGGGATTCTGTGAGCCGACAAAAGGCCATTTTACTTTACAAAACACAGCGGGTGACACGTGTCACCCCCGAAACCGTGTGAGGAAAACCAATTGTAAATTTGCGGGTCTGGCAGCCAACATAAGGCCATTCAGCCTCACAAAACGACGGGCAAAAGGTGTCACCCAACCGTGTGAGAAAAAAACACATGTAAATCTGGGATTCTGGAAGCCAACATAAGACGTTTCAGCCTCACCCCAAAAAAAACGGGCGACACGTGTCACCCACGAAACCGCGTGAGAAAAAGCAGTTGTAAATTTGGGAGTCTGGGAGCCAACATCAGGCCATCTAACTTCACAAACAAAAAGACGGGCGACACGTGTCACCCCTGAAACCGTAAGAGAAAAACCGCATGTAAATCTGGGATTCTGCAACCAACATAAGGCCATTCAACCTCACAAAGACAACGGGTGACACGTGTCAGTCCCGAAACCGCGTGAGAAAAACCAGTTGTAAATCTGGGATTCTGGGAGCCAACATAAGCTATTCAACCTCACACCGCGCGCGAGAACTGGACGCCACCGCGCGCACGCGCGCGCAGTCGCGCTTACGTACGTACAGTGTCTTAGTGAGACGAAAACGACCTACTCGTCGACCGAAGTAGCCTGTACATCTGCACGCATACAAGTCAAGCGCATATGCCAATGCTTACGCGTGCGTGCGTGTGTATACACACATTTGTATTAAAAAAACATACATGTGTGCATCTATCAATCGCATCGTTCGTTGCCCGGAATATTTTCCAGGGGACACAGTTCAATAAAGAACCATTCGGCGGCGAATTAATGGCAGTCGGGATCCAGGGGTGGAGAGGGGTCATCATCGCTCAACAAGTTTTTGATACGCGAAACAAACCCATAGGAAGACAAGTGGCAACCGCGAAGTGATACGCAGACAAAACCAGCTAGTCAGAGCTTCAACAATAATCTCTCGATGTAAGCTTCAACACTAATCTCTTGATGTAATCACTGCCATGCGAAGCAGTGCACATGATGATGGCCCTGATATTCTAAGACGTCCCTGGGGCGCCCCAATACAGTCCAGAAGTGGTCTTGAGACCGCTTCTGAGACCCTTCAAGATGGCCTCAAGACGACCCAAGGACGGGCTCGAACGACCCTGAGGCAGCCCCTCATGGCCCTGTTAGAACTCCATACGAGCGACGATCACAAACGGGGCTTACGCGAGATGGCACAGCGAAGTTGCGCGGCGGCTTACGCGGGCCGCCAGCGCGGCACGCTACATCGGAGCCGAGGGCGCTTACACGCGATCTTACGCGGGCCAAGGGCTCCCAACTTTGCGCTTCGCGCCCCGCGAAGCGCGAATAACTTTGCGAGCTCGCGCCGCCCCCCCCCAACGGGAGGAAAGGAGGACGTGGATGAGGGGGAAGGGGGAACGAGGACCGCGAAGCGCAAAGCGAGAATAGCTTCGCGCTCTCGCGGGAGCCCTTGCTTACGCGCCAATGGTGGCAGAGACGACCCCATTTTTTAATGCGTCGCTCACGTGGTCTGATTGCTGCTTGCCGTTTGTTTTGCAGGGGGCTGGAGAACTGCACCGTTGGGCGGCCGAAGGCCCCAAAAACAGCTCCTCGGAGCACGAACGGGATCGCCACAGAGAGCACTCTGGAAAGCGCAGCGTCGGATATACGGTGCTCTAGATACAAGGGCTCCCAACTTCGCGCTTCGCGCTGCGCGAAGCGCGAAGTGCGAACAACTTCTCGCTCTCGCGCCGCCTCCCAGGGGAGAAGAGGAGGATGAGGAGGACGCGGAGCCGAAGCGCGAAGCGCGAATAACTCCGCGCCCTCGAGGGCGCCCTTGTAGAGAATACGAGCAAGAGACCACACGGGAGACCCTGCGGGAGACCAGCCGCGGGAGACCATGGTCCACCGATTTTCTGGGTAGCCGGAGGACGTCGTGACCACGGCCCTCAGGGACAACGTGCAGGACGCTCGGACGTCGATTTCCCGTGCATTTTTCGGTTTCGTGCGTGTTTTTTTTTGCTCGGTGGTCCAGGATGGTCCTCGACGGTTCCCGCCGAGAAAAAATGCACACGTCCGAGCGATGCCAAAACAACGTGCAGGACACTCACGAGCAAGCTGTCCAGGGAAAGGCGCAGGAACGACTCCTGCCGCTTCTGGGCTCCCGGGTGCACTTTCTTTAGGTCGGGCATGTCCTCCTGGAGGCGGGTTCATAAAGAGAAATGACCAAATAGCCAACACAGCGGAAACATATTCAAAATTAATTGGAACATCGTGCCCATATTATGTTTTACCTGTTTAGAATGTTCTTCCTGTACATGGACATGCCCGACTGAATCCTACCCCTTCTGGGCCCCTGGGGGCCTTCTCTGAATCTGCGGAGACGCACGCGCGCTTTTTTTTCCCAGAACAGGCTCGTGCACAAGGCTCTTTTTCCTGGATGAGGGCGTGGGCCCAGGGTTCTCCTTTTGGCTTTGCTCCCCGCCGGCCCCGACTTGAGCTGGGCCGGCGGAACTTTCTGCGATGGACAAGGAGGAAAGGGTGGGCCAGCGGATCTTTCCGAGCGAAACGCTTGATCTACATAATCTGTTGAGGATGTCTCGAGGGAAGCACGCGTTTTGCAGAGTCCGCGGAGGCTCGAGCGAAGCGCTATTTTTTTCTCGGGTCCAGGTCGCCCAGGCCGATGTTTGACGTGAGGACTTGCTGGGGCTATCTCGAGCGAGACGCTTGTTGTCATGCGTCCAGGTTGCCCCAGGGGGTATCTGACACGGCTGTCCCGAGCAAGGACCCCGTGTTTTCACGTGTCCAGGCCACCCAGGGGTGTATCTAACATGGTTGCCTAGAGCTGGATCCACGTGTTTTTGCGCGTCCAGGCCACCCAGCGGGGTATCTAACATAGTTGTCCCGACCTGGAACCGCGTGGCTTTGGCGTGTCCAGGCCGCCCAGGGGGTATCTAGCATTGCGTCGGGCCCAACGCCGAATTATCAGGAAACGCACGGGGAGCCAAAAAGCGCTACCCGACACATATCCCAATACAGAAAAGTGATGCTTCCTTGCTCTGGACAGGGGGTGGCGCAGTCGGGGCCTATCGAGGGAAGACACTGCGAGGATGTCTCGAGCGGGAGCGCGAATTCAGCGTATCCAGGCCACGCAGGGGGTATCTAACATGGTGTTCCCGAGCTGGAACTTCACATGATTGCTCCGAGCAAGGACCACGTGTTTTAACGTGTCTGGGCTACTCAGGGGTGTATCTAACATGGCTGTCCCGAGCTGGCGCCACGTGTTTTTTAAGTGTCCAGACCACCCAGGGGGATATCTAACATGGTTGTCCCGAGCAAGGGCCACATGTTGTGACGCGTCCAGGCCACCCAGGGGTGTATCTAACATGGTTGCCCAAAGCTGGTGCCACGTGTCTTTACGTGTCCAGACTACCC